CTCTTCTCCCACCCGGTGCTCAGGATCTGTGGATTTTGTCTGAGCAGCTCTGTCGGCACTGGAGTGTTGATAAAGGTCACCCACGCTGAGGATGCTTGTTCTCACCGCAGCGGTGGCAGTTGTTCAACATCTGCTGCATTTCAGTACTTTCTCAGTAAAGAGTTAAGGAAAGAAGTCAGAATGACAGATGTACAGAAAATGTCAACATGAGGCCCTGAGACATGACCTCTGCATGCAGGGTTCCGGGGTGCATAGAGTGAAAAGAGGCACACCTTGAAGGCCCTTGTCCCCTTACTTTGAAATGTGAATTTTTTCTGTGACTTTATGTGGACGATTTAGCGTATGGATATATGACCTAAATCAGTGGATGTTTGAAAGTATTCACTTTCCTTTTAGCTTAGTGTCCCACTTCAGATAGCCCACTTCCATATTATACCTATAGAATATATAGACACATATATGCATACTTCTATAAGCCAAACAAGTCTCTATTTTATCTACATTCTCATGGGAATCAAGAGAATCCCCAGCCACCACAGGTAAGGGGGTACTATAATAAGATTGAGAGGACTGTGGCGTGGTATTCATCATCTTCTAATCATAAGAAACATCTAGATAGCTAGCTTATGAAGAGAAAGCTCCCCTAGTGCTGGAACTTTCACATCAAGGCAGTTACGGGAGGATGTCATGGCAAGGGAACTCAGTAGAGCAAGCTGCTCACCTCGAGACTGGACAAAGAACAGGAAGTGATGTTGGGGATGTGGCCCAGCTGGTAGTGGCTGCCTAATATGCATGAAGTCCTGGGATCCCTCTTTAGCTCTTTATAATCCAGAGGGTGTGATGACAGATGCCTGTAATCCCGTCAACTGGTAGGTGAAGGCAGTAGGATCAGAAGTACAGACATTCTTGGCTATATAGCCGACTCGGCACTCAATGGGCTGCGAGGGTCCTAGCCTTTAAAAAGATGAGAGTGATCTGGTGTGGTAGTGCATGCATTTCATCCCAGCACTCGGGAGGCAGACACAGGTGGAGTGAAGTCAAAGCTAACCAGGTTTACGTAGCACGTTTCAGGTCAGCAAACTTACACAGTAAGACCCTATATTGGAAGAGAGACAAGTGGGGGAGGGGATGGGCTGGCTCTCCCTATCCCTGCAATGATGTGCTCCCAATGACTGGAAGCCCTGACCCACTTTTTTTTTTAATTAATTAATTTATTTATTAAAGATTTCTGTCTCTTCCCCGCCACCGACTCCCATTTCCCTCCCCCTCTCCAACCAAGTCCCCCTCCCTCGTCAGCCCAAAGAGCAATCAGGGTTCCCTGCCCTGTGGGAAGTCCAAGGACCACCCACCTCCATCCAGGTCTAGTAAGGTGAGCATCCAAACTGCCTAGGCTCCCACAAAGCCAGTGCAGTAGGATCAAAAACCCATTGCCATTGTTCTTGAGTTCTCAGTAGTCCTCATTGTCCGCTATGTTCAGCGGGTCCGGTTTTATCCCAGGCTTTTTCAGACCCAGGCCAGCTGGCCTTGGTGAGTTCCCGATAGAACATCCCCATTGTCTCAGTGTGTGGGTGCACCCCTCGCGGTCCTGAGTTCCTTGCTCGTGCTCTCTCTCTTTGTGCTCCTGATTTGGACCTTGAGATTTCTGTCCGCCCTGACCCACTTTTAAAGATTCCATCACCTAGTAGCAAACCTCAACTGGGGACTAAGCTTGAAAGACACCATGATAGTTACTTTTTCTGTTGCTGTGATAAAAACGCCACAGCCAAGGCAATTATGGAAGAAAGTTTAGCTGGACCACAGTTCCAGAAGGTTGGAGTCAATAATGGCAGAGCAGAGGCATGGTAGCAAGTGGCAGGATGGGGCGAGGAACAGGAAGCTCATATTCTGAACCACAGCATGAAGTGGAGAGTGAACTGGAATTGAGATGTTTTTAAATATCAAATCCCCCCCTTGTACCATACTTCCTCCAGCCAGGCCACACCTCCAAGACTTCCCCCAACTCCTGGACCAACTGGAGACCAAATGTTCAAATGACTGAGACAATGAGGGATATTTGTCATTTATTTTTTATTTTAATTAATTAATTTACTTATTTTGAGACAGGATCTCACTCACTGTGTAAACCAGGTTGGCCCTGAAGTGACAAAGATCTTTCTGTTTCTGCCTCCCAAGTGCAGGGATTAAAGACACGCACCGCAGAATGCTCCCACAACTCCATGTGTGCTGTAATTTAAATAAGAAATGTTAGCTGGGCATTGTGGTAGCATCATTTTCACTGAAATCCAATATCTACACATTATAATATCTACTTCCTGTGTTCAATTCCATTTAAACAAATCCTGGCTGGCCCTGGTCCTCAGTTTCTGTAGTCAGCTTCTCAAGTGATTTCCTCTCCACAGTTGTGGCACCTAATTCTAGGTGCATGTGGTTTCTGTATCCAGTTTGTGTCCTACTGCCTGACTGAAGGTATTTCTCAGACATAAGAGTTTCCTGATGGAGTGTGAGTTCAGGTAGAGAATCCTGTCTTCTACTAGTAAGGACACTTTAACTTCTCCCTTTTTTTTGTATCCCCTACATTTTATCTTCTTGCTTTACTGTTCTAGCAAAGACTTCAAGCAGTATGCCAAGTGAGAGTAGAGAAACTGGACACCCTTGTTTCGCTCCTCATGTTAGTGGAAATGCCTTGAGTTTTTCCTGTGTAGTGTAATATTGGTTTATTGTATATAGTCATTAACATATTGAAACACATTCTGGGCTTCTCATGAAGAGAGTTTAAATTTCATCCAAAGCCATTTCTACATCTACTGAGATTACTTTGTGATTTCTGTCTTTCAGTCCATTTTTGATTTTATTATATTCATTGACTTGCATGTGCTAAACATTCCCTGCATCTCTGGGATGAAGCCTACTTGATCGTGGTGGCTAACCACAGTTTTGATGTAATTTTCTTGAATTCAAGTTACAAATATTTTATTAAGAATGTTTTTGCATCTGATGCAGAGATCCACTGCTAAGCTCTGGGCCAAGCTCCTCGAGTCCAGTCCTAGAGAGGGAGGAGCAATAATATGAGCCAAAGGATCAAGACCAGGATGGGGAAACCCACAGAAACAGCTGACCTAAGTCAATGAGAGCTCACTGACTCTGGACTGACAGCTGGGACCCTGCATATAACCAAACTAGGCCCTCTGAATGTGGGTGACCAGTTGTATGGCCTGGGCAGTTTGTGGGGCCACTGGCAATGGGACTGGGATTTATCCCTAGTGCATGAACTGATTTTTTGGAGACTATTCCCTATGGAGGGATACCTTTCTCAGCCTAGATACAGGACGGAGAGCCTTGGTCCTGCCTCAAGTGATGTGATAGACTTTCTTGACTCCCCATGGGAGGCCTCACCGTCTCTGAGGAATGGATGGGAGGATGGGGTGGGGGGAAGATGGAGGGAGCAGAAGGAAGGGAGGAATCGGGAACTGAGATTGGTATGTAAAATAATATTTTTTTTAAAAAGATTTTTTTTTTGCATCTGTGTTCATAGTAGGCCTAAATTTTCTTGGGTCAATTTAGGGTGAGTTTGTTCTCACCAAAGTGTGTGCAGTTAGGCAACTCTAAATTAAAAGACCAATTTGGCCTTTGTATTCCAGATAAACTTGCCACTTTTGTGTATTATTTTGCTTTATAGGCATTTGTCCTGTTTGTTCTTTAGGCCACATATAAAAAATTCTTCATAAGCTCTGAACAGGCATTTCATAGTTTAATGCCAACTTGGAATGTATCTAAATATGTTTGCAAACTTCACCCTTTTAACTTCTCGCTTTTCTTTTTCAGAAATTTACTAATATTGACCCACTTTTTAATTGTGGGAGAGTTTTAGAATTGTAGATATAGACGTATTTAAAATTGTTTAGAATATGACTGTTCTCAAAATGTCAAATGTTCTTTTGCTCATTAATTTACTCATTCTTTCAATAACTCTGACTTTTCTGTCAGCTTACTCAGATCTACAAGCATTGTGAATATTAATAGCAGTGAATATAAGCTACTTTCAGTAATTTGAAACAAAACGTTAAAACTTATTTAAAAATTTGCTATCATAAATTTCTACAGTCGAACGTGGGACTAGTCCACTACTCTGACTACAAATGTCCTGTACTTTGGTCTCCCACTTGTAGAATTCAGAGATTTCCCAGTAGGCACGGGTCCTGGGTTATTTTTGGTGTTTACTAAAATATAAAGCCATGCTGCCCACAGCTTTTGTGACATCTGATGTGTGATACCAGAAAAACCGGCTGGAAATGGAAAAATGGGCCGACACCATCTGTAACGATTAGAGAGTCTTAATTTTAAAAAAGTGTTTACATGTGCTTCCCTCATTCCTGTCTAGGAATTTAGACATACTATACACCTATAGGGATATTCACACCACAGACTTTTCTGTAACAGAAGATCAAAACCACAGTCCAAACAAACAAAAACTCCAATCAGGTCAAGGTGGCCCATTCCCTTAATTCTGAAACCGACAAAGTAGGAGTGGGTCTATCTCTAGGATTTCAAGGCCAGACTACTCTAAGAGAAAGTTCCAGATCAGAGAGCACTACATAGTGGGACTTTGCCTTAAAACAAACAAATAAAAAACTCCAAACGGGTGAAGGTATTTCAGTTTTGAAATGGTTAAATGCTGGTACTTTGAATTATGTCGATTATGATCAATTAAATGCCCTATGCCATTTAAAACTAGAAAAAACATATTATTTAAATAAGGAGAAATATGTTGTATAAAACCTTTGGTATATTTCTTTTCGGCGGCAAAAGGCCACACCTGTGTGAGAAAGTAAAAACCATGAACAACAAACAAAACGCTTGTATGTTTGAGGACGGGTGAAGAAGCAGGGGTGGGGGCGGGGCAGGTCGGCAGATGAGTATGCGCGATACCGGTCTCCAGCTACTGGCGGCACTGTTGGAACCGAGGGCTGGCGCCGTGTGACGTCATCACGGCGGGCCACGACGCACGCTAAGTAGCAAGGCGTCGGCCACTGCGCGTTCCTGCGAGTGCGCTCTGGATCCTTCGGCGTCTCCTGGCGGCCTTGAGGTCGCCACCCTGGCCGCTCTGGCCCGTCTGGCGTTGGGTGGGCGGCATAGCTGCGCCCACATGAACCAGCGGCATTACGGTCGCAATGGTCGCGGTCGGAGCCGAGACTTCGCTGGCCGTGCCCCACCGAAGAAGAAGGGCAGAAACCACGTCCCGGAAAGGTATGGCGCTTTGGTTCCGGGCTGAGTCGTTCCGGCTGCCGTGGCGGCCTAGTGTCCTGTTCGCCGCGGCCTCGCTCCCTTCCGCCTCCCAGAGTCCTCCGCGCCGAACCTCCCCGGCCCCCGCATTCTGAGGTTTCAGTCTCGGCCCGGCGGGGCTCTGTGTGTGGAGCTCGGGCCGGCGCGGAAGTGCGCATCGGGGCGCGGCTGCCGGTCTGGGAGTCGTCCCTCGATCCCTGGGAGTGGCGGTCTTGAGAGTGTGAGCATCCGGTCTGAGCTGTAGACACCCTGCGCTCTTTCCCGGCTGGAGAGGTTCTGTGGCTTCCAGGACTCTGGAGGCGGCGCTGTCATTTGAGGGAGGCTTCCCGGCCCGTGTCAGTCGTTAGGTGTACGATGTTGCTCACAGGTGGTGTGAACTCTTCTGGCCACTGCCGGCTCCCCTTCCCGTATTTCAACAGTTGGTTGTTTTATCTCCACAAATACGGAATAGCTGAAGTCAGGCGTGGTCAACGTGGCCTCTCCTCTTCCTAGAATTGAACAAATCTTTTATCTCCACAGTTAAGCAATTGGGAGATAAAACCCAGGATAGGCAGACTGTCCTCTCCCCATTCCCAGATTCAGTAAGCATTTATCTCCACTGAGGAGCGTCACCTGACGTCCAGAATGGACGTAATGCCCTCTTTGCCTTCCCAGACTTGAGTAAGCCCTGAATAATTTTCAAAGTCTGTCAGCTTTCCTTCATCGTCGCCCCAGTGCAGAACTTGTTTGACGTGGTTGCAGAAGACAGGTGTCCATTTTTCTACTTTTATTTCTTTCTAATCCATTTTTTTTTTTTCGAGACAGGGTTTCTCTGTAGCTTTGGTTCCTGTCCTGGAACTAGCTCTTGTAGACCAGGCTGGCCTCGAACTCCCAGAGATCCGCCTGCCTCTGCCTCCCGAGTGCTGGGATTGGAGGCAGAAGCAGGTAAATCTCTGTGAGTTCAAGGCCAGCCTGGTCTCCAGAGTGAGTTCAGTTAGACTCCAAAGCTACACAGAGAAACCCTGTCTCGAAAAGCCAAAGTAATTAATTTAAATAAAATAAAATGCCAACTCTTTGTCATGGTCTACACACTAGGTTTCACGGTTCAGAGGTTCTCTGTGTCTCCAGCTCAATCTCTTGCACTCAGTCCTCACTTTCTGATCTTCTATACTGGATGAACCCTGGTTATTTGTAATTATAGACAGAGACCAACTCAGCTGTGAGTCTCTAGGCTGCCCCTCGGCATGCCTGAAGTTCAGGTTGTCTATTCGTGTAAGAACTAGGAAACTTCTCCATGTTGAATTGTCATTCGCGTGGAAACCGCAAACACTGCGCACTGAATCTGAGCTCACAGCCAGTGTGTAGGTATTCATTACTCCTGGCTGGTTTTAATATTTTTAGTTACCACACAAAATGTGAGTCTCATTGTGACACTCTACATGCATGTCATTATTCTTTGCTCACACTGATCCCCACACATAACCTTCCCCTCTTGTGCCCTCTGCCCCCTTTAGTCCCCTTCCTCTGACACAATCCCCTTCTGCCTTCCTGTCTGATATATCATCTTGGTATTTGATGCTGGGCTGTGTTTATCAGGGGCGTGAAAGTTCTGGTCATTTTGGTTTTAGGAATTTCTTGTTTGTGTTGTTTGTATCTGTTTTCAAGATGGAGACAGGAAGAAGAAAGTGTAGGTTGTTATTTGTAGAAAGAGAGTAGGTTGAGTAGCAAAGGACAGAGCAGACATTCTCATAAAGGGACTTTGTGTGTGTGCTAGGTGCCCCATTGTTGTGTTGGGAGGCAAGGCTACGTTTAGTTTGACTAACAAATACTCTGTCATAGGTGGAGAGATTATCTCCCAGTTGGACAGCGGATGCCTGGGACCCGTTTCATTGCTTTCAAAGTTCCCTTGCAAAAGGTAAGTGAAAGCTACTGCGGGGTTTTTTCAGAAGTCTAAATTCCCCATGTAGAACACTGGCTCTCAGCCTGGTTGCTCTCTATCTAGTTTCCCATCTTATGTCACTACTAACGTGAAATGAGATTCACAGAGCAGTAAAGTCTACATCCGTATCTCATTTTAAGGAAAAGACAGTATAATGCCCTAACAATAATATGAAGAATAATTGTAACCGTTTTGTGTTTTGTGCCCACTTGACTGAACCAGTAGTTGAGTAGCCACTGTGTTGATAGGGCAGTTCCTCTGCTGGGAATCCAGTAGAACTTGTGGGGAATTGTTTGTGAAATGAATTTTAGTTCTGAGGCTTAGACAGATAGGAACAGGCTTTTGCTTTTTCTATACCTCGTTAATGTTGACTAGGACATTCTGAAGTCATTCAGGCAGCGACACAAACACAGAAATATGTATATCAAAGTGAGTTCTCCCCCCCCTCACTGGAAGAGAGGAACCTGCTCTTGTTCTCATTGTGTGTGTATCTCATGGGGCTGGAATAAATACAAACTGTGTGCAGGACTTGAAGCAGGTTTGCTCTCTCTTACTTTACTCTGACAGAAATTTGAAGCAGAGCTTATGCCAGAAGAGTACTTTTCTCCTTTGGATCTTTTTAATAAAATTCAAGAACAAAATGAAGAACTTGGTTTGATAATTGATTTAACATATACTCACCGCTATTATAAAGCAGAGGTAAGTAGAACCTCTAAATGAAAAAAATAATTTATAGTAATTTAATAGCTTCCATCCTGTGCTGATGTAAAAACTAAGCTTCATCCATGGGTAGTAATAATTTTAAAGGAAAAGCAAAGTTTCCCTAATTTTATGTTGAAATGAGACTGGAGGACGGGCTTGGTAGTGAATGACGATAATCCAGGTCTTAGGAGTCTAAGGCAGGAGGATCACAAGTTCAATGCCAGCTTGGACTTACATAATTAAGTCTTAACAACAACAGCAGCAACAGCAACACCACAAACATAGACACACTCACTAGATCGGAGACATGAATTGAACTGTAATATTGAGTGGTTGTCACTTAAGTCTCTTTCATTAGCAAAAGCTTTGTAACCACTGAACATTAATTCACCCGTCTCCCACACTTCAGACCCCTAGTAACCTCTTGCCTGCTTTATAGTATGAATTTCTCAGTTTTAGTATCTCATTCAAGTAGCATAATGTAGCATATTTAAATTTTTAAATTTAATTAAATATTCCATCATTTCCCTCCTCCTTACTTTAACCTCTCCTAACCCTCCTTTTCAAATTCATAGCCTCTAACACTTAATTATTGCTACATGTATATGCAGATAGCTGCTATACAAATGTAGCCTGCTGTTGCTTATATGTATTTTTTTAGGGCTGACCACTTTAGGATGCTTTTATATCTGAAGACTAATTCTCCATCTCTCGGTTGTTCTTAATTACCTGTAGTTCTTCATCTAGGGTAGGGCCCTCTGCAATTTCTCCCATCCATGTTGGCATGTCAGTTGGTGTTATTGTTCAGGTCTTGTGTGAGCACCCATATTGTTGAAATTTCATGGGTGGAGCCTTTTCTGTCACATCTCTAAAATATAATCTTGCAACTGACTCCCTGGTCTTTGGACTCTTACCTTTCTACCTTCCTCGTCTGAGATGTTCTCTGAGTCTGAGATGGAAGGATTGTGCTTGCGATGTATCAGTCGGGGCTGGGCAGCTCACAGGCAGTTGTTCTCTGCGTTTGACTAGTTGTGGCTTTGTGTAATAATCTGTGTACTGTAGGAGGAAAAAAGGAAGTATCTTTGTGTGAGAGTTATACTTATTAATAGAGAAATTTTTTTGTTTTTTTTTTTTTTTCGAGACAGGGACAGCTCTGACTGTCCTGGAACCAGCTCTGTAGACCAGGCTGGCCTTCACCTCTCAGAGATCCCCCTCCTCTGCCTCTCAAGTGCTGGGATTAAAAGCGTGTGCCACCACCACCCATCAAGTACATTTTTTTAAGGTGTTTTTTTTTTTTCTTTTCGTATGAGTGTTTTTGCCTGCCTGTATGTATGTACATTGTAGACATAGCCTGGAGGCTGTGGAGGCCAGAAGTCGGCATGATAACCCCTAACTGACATTACAGATTGTTGTGAACTGTTGTGTAGGTGCTGGAAATTGAACATGAGTCTTCTGCAAGAGCAGTCAGTGCTCTGAACTATTGAACCATCTTTCCAGCCCTAATATCTTGTAATACTTGTCTTTTTGTGTCTGAATTATTTTACTAAGTTTGTTTCCAATGTTTCTTGAAGCATATAACAGAATCTTTTTCTTTTCTGGCTCAATATTTCAGCTATGTATATATGCTGTATTTCATTATGGCCCCTATCTACTTCACTTCTTTGTGCCTTCCTTATCCCGCGCGCGCGCGCGCGCGCGCGCGTATGTGTGTGTGTGTGTGTGTGTGTTGGGGGATTTATTTGTTTTTTCATGAGAAAAAGTCTTATCATGTGGCCCTGACTGGCCTGAAATTTATTATGTACACTAGGCTGGTCTTCAACCCACAAAGATCTACCTACTTTCGCCTCCCATGTGCTGGGATTGATTATATGCGCTACCAGGCCCAGCATGTTCTGTCTTATTTTAAAGGAACCCTCAAATATCATAGAATTTATCTCTACTTTTTGATATTTATATATATGCAAAATACAATACTTTTTTCTTAATATCAGTTCTTTGACGTCAGATTTGTAATCTGATTATTCCTAAATGTCATCAAAATTGTAAGTTTGAAGTTGGTTGTCTGTCATGTCTCTTTTACTTTCTTTTTGTCCCTCTCCTGAGTTTTGTCTTGTAGAGCCAGCCAGCTGTGCTCTGATGTTAGCTGTGTGCCTCCACGTGCTGGTAGAGTCCTTTGTTCTCTGCCAGTGGGCTAGCACAACCAGATTCAGGACTGTGTTCTCCTTTCTCCTTTCCTTCCTCCCTCTGTTCCCCTAACCCTTGGTTTCCCTTTTCTTTCTTTTTCCTACCTTTCTTCCCTCTCTTCCATTCTGTTTGGTTTTGGGTTTGGTATTTGAAACAGAGTCTTAATATGTAACCCTCGCTGACCTCATGATCTTCCTGCCTCAGTCTTTCTAATGCTGGAATTACAGATATTCAGTATTCCACCTGCCTTGATTTTTTTTTTTAAACTTGAGATAGTGTCTCATATAGCCAGGACTATCCTCAATTGCTGAGGATGTCCTTAAACTCCTGATCCTCCTGCCTCTATCTCCCAAATGCTGTGATTACAGGCATGGACCACCACACCCAGATTGATTTCCTTTTCTAGAAGTCTTTATTCATTTTAATGTATATGTTTGTGTGCTATCATGAGTTTATGTGCATCACATTCATGCTGGCAGCTACAGAAGTTAGAAAAGGGTGTCAGATACACTGGAATTGGAGTTACAGGTGGCTGGAGTAGCTATATGAGTTTTGGGAACCAGAACTTCATTCTCTGCGAGAGCAGTAAAGGCTCTTAACTGTGAACCATTGGTCTGGCTGCCTTGATTTCTTTAACATGACAGTTTCCAGTGTTTCTGTATATTTTGAGATGGGTTCTTGTTGTGTTGCTCAGGCTGATCTTGAACTCCTGTGTTCAAGTGGTCCTTCTGCCCAGCCTACTGGGACACATGGACTATAAGGGTGTGCCACCATGCCTGATATGAGACATTTTCATAGGTGGTCATGTGTTCTTCCATTAAGGGGCATATAATCAGTGGTTGTCTCTTAAGTTATTAGTAATTATTGATGACTAACCTGTTAATTCCTTTGAAGCTTCAAAAGTTGATTTTCTTTTTTCTTTTTTCTTTTTTGAGACAGGCTCTTGCTGTGTAGCACAGGCTGACTTCAAACTCAAGATTTTCCTGCCTCAACCTCCCAGTTGTCTAGGATTACAGGTGTTTGCCACCATACCAGGCTGTACAAGGTGAACGTTACCATTCATGTTCATTTAATGAAGTTTCTGCTTGTTTATTTACTCAGTGGTGTCAGTAGGATTCTTTCTTCTTTGTAACAGCTTTCATCAAAGTAATCTCCTGGATCCCTAATACCTGCCAATATTGACTAGTGAGAATTTATTCAATGTTTTCTCTCATTACAAACTCCTCTGCAGCTGCTTTTTCCAGTTGAAGCACCACTGGAAGGCCTCTCTTTAGATAATTGGAGCTTCTCCATTTGGCCCCTAAAACTTTGAAAAATATTCTTGAGAATTTCACACATGAATAGTTTGGTTTTTGACCACAGTTACCCCACACCACAGCTAATTCCTCCTGGGCTGCATCCCCAATGTCATGTCCTTTTTATATGGATGTTCACCACATGCTTGAAGGTGCCTGTGGGCGGTGGAAAAAGAAGGTACTAGATTTGCTAGACCTGGAGTTACAGGTATTTGTGAGCTGCCTGATGTGGGTGCTAGGACCTGAACCCAGCCCAGGTCCTTGGCAAGAGCAGCAAGTACTGCTCTTGTTAGAGCTCCGTTCAGCTCTGACCCCCTGAGCCATTTCTCTGCCCTACCTCGACACCACTTTTGCTTTTTGGGACAGGGTTTCTCCATGTAACCTCTGAAGCCTGTCCTGGAACTCGCTCTATAGATCAGGCTGGCCTTGAATGCCTCTGCCTCTGCCTCCTGGGTGCTGGGATTAAAGGCCCAACGCCACTGAGTTCAGAATTAGTGCTGCCCAAGTGCACATGGGTGTAATACCATCTTCTGGAACATGGCCAACTAACCAGGGCCGCAGTCCTGAAGAAAACTGACTCTCCCTTCCCAGGTAGCTCTTAGCTGACAAAGCTCCTCAGCTAGATTCAACCACTTCTTAGTCCTGATCATCTTTGATTACTTTTCTGCATGAAAGAATTCTGGACTCATCTTAACTGTTTCCTGCCCTAGCCTGACTCAGCCTTTGCAGAGGCTTTGTTTCCTTTTGGTGGGTTTCAGGCATGTGAGTGTCAGGTATACTCATTGCTAATAGATTGACATTGCTCGGAAGTTTTTCCTGTGGACAGAGCTAGGAACTCTGTAGAAATCATGATAGTGTTTTCCAATTAAATCCAAGTTACATATTTTTCACCTAACCTATCTTTTTTTTTCTAAAATTTACGTGTGTGTGTGTGTATGTGTGTGTGTGTGTGTTGGGGGTGGCTGTGTGTGTGGCTGTATCTGCTTGTCTGTGTCTGCCACATGTGTACAGGTGCCTGCTGAGGTCAGAAGAGGGCTCCGGATCCTCTGCAGCAGGAGTTCCAGGCTGTTGTGAGCCATCAGACATGGGTGCTGAGAACTGAACTACGTCCTGGAAGCGCAGCAAGCACTCTTAAGCTCTGGGCCATCTCTCCAGCACCTACCCTGCCTGCTTCTTTCTCTTATTTACAGCTCTTTTTGCTCAGCTCATTACTATTTTGTGAAGACACAGCAAGGTGAAATGATTAGAACTGTCCACATACTTCTTAGTCACACCATATACACCCTCATCCATGTGGGATTTGGTGTGTTTTGTATACCTAGTGACTGTCCTATAGTTTTAATGAAAATCAAGTGCTGTTTCCTGGTTGGAACAGCTTTGTAAGAAGTGGCTCTTTAGTCAGAGTTAGTGATAGTAAGTTTATTAGTATCAACTTACACTTATGCTCCTCAAATCTTCATTATATGCAAATGAAATAATGTACATTTTTTTTGTTTTACTTTATAGGATTTGCCAGAAACTATTTCTTACATCAAAATTCTTACAGTTGGCCATCAGGTACCTGATAATGGCACTATTCTTAAGTTCAAGTGTGCAGTTAAAGAGTTTTTAAAGAAAAACAAAGACAATGGTGAGTCCTTGTGGTTTCTTTTTCTTTTCTGTCTGATCTCTGTTGTGTTTTTCAAATAGCTTTGGAGACTCTTTTAAAAATCTTTTTATTGTAATTATGTGTGTGTGTTTGTTGCTATGTGTATATAAATGCAGGTACTTACAGAGTCCAGAGACTTCAGAATCCCTCCACCTAGAGTTGTGAGCCTTCTGACATAGGTGCTGGAAAACCAAATTTGGGCCCTTTAGGGTAGATTTGTTTTCAAGTACTGAGCCATCTCTCCAGCACAGTCTCCAGACTTTTGATAGTTCAGATTTTTGATATTGTTAACATTCTAATATTAGGTATGTTGCCTTTGAAAATGGCAGCTGGTAGTAATAAAGTGTTTTCCCTTTTGTTGGCCACACAGAAACAAAACTTGAGTGAGAAATGTGTAATATAATGAAAGTGTTTACCTTTTCCTGTGGTTAAAGGGTGAGATGTAGAGGATTAAGAATCTTAATGAAGAGACAACAGAAGACCAAAGTTAGGAGTGAAGTAGTCTCCAAGAGAACAGAACATGGGCAGGCCAGTAAAATTTCATCTTTGCCGCGTGTACTTCAAGTGATCCTGCTGTTTTCCATTTTGAGTACAATTGTCACTGTTATTTATTATCAAAATGAAGGTGGGATGAAGTTGGTAGCTCAAGTACAGAGCACCTGCCTGGCTTACAAAGCCCAGTTTCAAACTTCAGTGTTACACACACAGAAACACATTCTAGTTTCCTCTTCATAGTAAGACAAATGGCTTTGTGTAAGGCAGCTTGACCAGATGGCTGCTTCTACAGTTTGCATTATTGTATCTAACCAGGACGTTCAAGATTTCCACAACAATGAGCTTTTGGTAGGTGATTCTTGATGATGTGTTTTAAAGCTACTTTTCAACATAGCAGTGATATTTCACTAATTTGTGTTACTCTTCAGAAAATTGTCTTTAACTTACTTTTGGTATATCTTGTTTCCTGTACTTAAATCTGCATTTCCTGTTTTATAGACAAACTTATTGGTGTCCACTGTACCCATGGCTTAAACAGGACTGGCTATCTCATTTGCAGGTGAGTTGCAAACTCAAAAGCAAATAGTGTTTAGTGTGTTTGTCTGGTTACAATGGTAATGTAAGCATACATAGAAATGAATGAAATAGAGAGCAGTGTTATCTCCACCCAGAGACTACCATTGTAGACTTTACAGATGCAGAAAGAGTGCATCTGTATGGCTTAGAGTACAGTAACCATCCAGAGTTACAATTTAATATGTGGTAGGTACCTCCCTGTGAAAGTATTTGGAGACCTTATTTTTTAAAGATTATACTGTTTTTTTGCACACTGACAAACATGCAAGTCATAAGTTTGGGGTATAATAAAACATCGAAGTGGTATGTGCATCTTTGAATCCACATGCCACTGACTCAACAATAATGTCACATGACATGCAGATGCTGAATTAGGGTGCGATCTGATGGTTCTTAAGGAATTGCTGTGCTGTGCAACATTATGTTTGTCCATTCAGAAGATCTTTGCTGAGATCTAGTTTGTGTGAGCAGTATAGCTGCTGGTAAAGATAATTTAATTTGCCTCTGAAGAAAGAAGGAAGACTATAATAATGAAGATAATAGCAAGAAGACTCTAGAACTATCACTGTCAAGTTCTGAGGAGGATAGGAACATGATACCATGATGGGGAGACTTGGACCTAACTCATCAAGAAGATAGTACATTTGTATGGAAGGTTTGAGAGACTATCTGAAGGCTGAACTAGTGCTAGCTGTGTAGAGACACTGAAGAGGCTGTAGATGAAGGCTCAGCTGGCAGCCTAGAGTAGTATAGCATACGCTTCTCTGGAGGAGGTTGGTGGGCAGCGCAGCAAGTGCGGCAGACAAGTGGAGCTCTTCTGGCAGGCAGGAGCCAGAGTTAGGCCATACAGAGCAGTGTTTTGGTCTGTTTGTTTCTTCTTGTTGTTGAACCTTTTTTGGGTATATTGAATCCATCTATTTCGGCTGAATAAAGAATGCTCTGGAGAGGTAGAGGCAAGGAGTCATTGGGTTTTTGTTTGAATTGAAGTATAACGGTTTCTTGGACCAAGATATCGAGGGCATTTTGGTGGAAGGATGTGGTTGTCAGGACCCTGGTGGTAGATTGAAGTGAGGATGAGGGAAGAGTGGGTGACAGTGATGGTAGCTCCTGTTTCTGACACATCCAATTGGTTTCCCAGTATTTCTAGCTATGTTACTATTTTTCCCAGTTGCTTTATATGTTGTTGGTTCCTGATGAATACACAGTAATATTAAGGAAGCCTCCTGTTTTTTAGTTCACAAAGCATTTTGATGAAAGTGACTACTGAATCTGCCTTTTAAGCATTTGCCAGTTTGGTCATGAATTTCCTTTATTGTTTATATTATTATACTAATGTAAGTACCTTTATTAATAGATTTTTTTAAAGTTGGTCAATCTTGGGGTAGTCTTTTTCTATGGTCATGGCATGCCATTCTGTAACTGTTGGATTAGATGTGTAGTATTTTCTTAGGATTTATGTCTCCACTTGTAAGTGAAATTGGACCTGTTTTGATTTTTGTTTTCTTTTGGTATATTTAAGTGACCCGACTTATGTTGTTTTGTTAGATATTTGATTGATGTAGAAGGCATGAGGCCAGATGATGCAATTGAATGTAAGTATGGGGGGTGTCACCATTTTTCCCTTCCTATAAAAGCTAAAGGTGGAAGTGTAGAGCCACTTTTCAATTTTTGGAGAACAAAATGCATATGATCCAATATATGTTGCCAGAAAGACAGTGGAGAGAGAAGGGAGGAAGCTACCTCTTGGGGCTGGGGATGTGGCTCAATGGTAGAGCACTTGCTCAGCGTGTGTGAAACCCTGAGTTTTATCTCCAGTACCAAAAGAAAGAAAAATAATAGCACTATAAGGTAGTCTTGCCAACAGCTTATGAAGGAACATATCTGCAAGCGATATGTGAGATACAGCAACCTAATGACAGTCAGTGAGTACAAGTGTTGGTTTACTTTCCTGGGTAAGATTTCTTTCTGTGCAACTATTTCTAAGTTCATCTTCATCCACTCCTCAGTATTCAATAGCTGCCGGGGGCACTGCATAGAAAGACAGAACTACATTGAAAACCTGCAGAATCGTCGTGTCAAAAAGTAAGTCTTCCATTTTGCTAAGTGAGATTTTGGTTAGGGAAACTTCTTTAGTATAATTCAAGTAGCACATTATCCATGCATCTTGTCCACTTGCTGAGCATTAAACAAAACAGGAGTAGGGGAGTTCAGGGCCTCTGTTCACACACCAAAGGACATAATTGCTAAACTGGCCACTGGAACTGTAATCTGGTGACACTGTGGGACACTTCTCTTTTAGGAAGCGGAATACTAGCACATCTAAATCAGGTGATCTTGAAGACTCAGCACATCTTACCGAAGAAGTCCACAGCACTAAGAAGCCTGTGAACCAAGGACCTCGGAACCATTGGCCTGCTGGTTGTTCAACACCTTCCCGACATTTTCACACCCAGTCCCAGTACTCCCAGCAATTGTTCAGGTACCTGGACTTCCCCCTTTCTTAGAACTGAGATGGAAACTACTTCAGACCAGGAAAGTACATTGTAACAATGACCAGCAGTTGGTATTTTCTTCTATTGTCAGCCAGTAGGGCTCATACTGAATCAAGTACTTGGGAAATGTGCTTCAGAGGCAGTTGAGAATGGAAAATTTTACTGTTTTTAAATTTAGCTTAATCCAGGAAGAGTTAGATGTTGTTACTGGGAAATAAAATCTTTCACGTATGTGTGTGTGTGTGTGTGTGTGTGTGTGTGTGTGAGAGAGAGAGAGAGAGAGAGAGAGAGAGAGAGAGAGAGAGAGAGGCTTGTACACAGAATCAGATCCAAGATTTGACCACTGAGGTATGTCCCTATATCCTTAGGCTTTATGAATCTTGAATTTTTAGGCTACATAGCTTTTGAAATAAAGAAGGCTATCGTTTAAAGAACAAATACAAAACCAGGCAGGGTATTCAGTGCCTGGAATCTCAGCACTGGGAAGTAGAGACAGGAAGATCACGAGTTCATCATTGGCTATATCTTGAGCACAGAGTCAGCCTAGACTACATGAGACTTTGTCTCAAAGAGAGAAAGAGAACAAGTTTTGAAGGATAATAATATCCTAATAGAGATAGTTACAAATGATTTGAACAGATTAAATCATACAAGTATTTCCATGGGAAATGGGGAAATTCTTAATTCAGTTAAAATAGTCTATTAGGATTTTCCAGAGAAGTGGAAGAGAGAGAATGGGCAGGTAGATGAGAAGGGACCTTCACTAGGGTGATTGGCATGCATGACTGTAGGATGAAAAGTTCCTCATCAAGCCCTCTGTAAGCTGGAGACCCAAGGTTGCCAGTAGTGTGATCCAGATCCAGGGAATATGGTAATTCTCTGTCAAGAGTCCTAAGGAAAAACCTGAGAAACCATGAGGGAGGGAGTGGAAGGTCAGGAAAGAGGTAAATTTGCCTTTCCTCTGCCCTTGTAGTTTCCCTGCAGTCCCAGCCAGGTGGTGGTGCCTGTGACATGGAAGGCAGGTCTTCTTTACAGTCTGCTCTTTGTACATCAGCCTTTTTCAGAGACATTCTTGTTGACAGATGCAGCAGTAATGCCCCGCTAACTCTAGTCCAGATGCCACCGAAGATAACTATCACAGCTTGTGTATACTCCTAGCTGCTAATTTAGTTGTGGTTTTTATGAGCACTTGAGGGTCGTGACTATCAGGCTGGGTGTGAATTTGTCTCCTTACTCTACCATTCACACCGTGTGCAGTCTTGGGTGAGACCACATCTGTTCTTTGAGATGGAGATTTTAAAACAACCCATAACTATGGCTGTTGCCTGCTACATCTGTTAAAGCAAATTGGTACATTGTTACACTATCAAAAAGATGCTGCTGGTGACCCTGAGAGTGGGAGTAACCCTTTTGAATCAGTTTTAATGGCCATAAAGATGCTCATACCTGGCCAATTCCGTATTGAGACTATACTTCTCAAATCCTACTGTTTCAGACAGAGCTAGGTGCTCAGCATACGGTAGTATATGAGATGCTAATCACCAAATTAATGATGGTAGGAAAACTGGGAGTAACCTATGATTCTGAGTGGTGATATAATTAAGTAACCATAATCATACTGTGACATTTTATAAAGCCATTAAAATTAAAGCTTGTTTATAGTAGTAAAATATACTAATCACATTTGACTGTGTGTGTGTGTGTATAGAGGGCATGCATGTGAGGCCAGAAGATAACCTCCGCTATTACCCTTCACACCCTGCCTTGTCTGAGATAGAGCCTGTGTTCCACTGCACATGCTAAGCCAGTTTTCTTCGAGCTTCCAGGGATCCCCCTGTATTTTTGCCCTCATCTCATCATAGGGATTGCAGACACTTGCTAGTGTTTCTCAGTTTTCTCTGGGTTCTGGGCATCCAGCCCCGAGTCCTCACACTTGTGTGGCAAGAGCTTTACTCACTGGGCCATCTCCCCAGTCCTAGCTCCATTCTACAAAAAATAGAGAGAAAGATAAGTGATTATCTGCTCAAGTCATCTAGGTAGGCAAGAGTAAAATCAGAATATCTGTTATTTTATAAAGTCTATTATAAAATGTTAATCTTGACAATGATTTATTATTTCTTGTTTAAGAAAACACAACCAGAGTGTTTACCAGAGAGGCCTTATCCCTCTTCCTGGTCCGCCTGAAGACTACTATTTACAGAGAAGATTCTTCTGGAACGGGAAGCCAAATGGTAGTCAAGCAACCCAGAATAAGAAGTGGATTTCCGGTAGTTACCAGAGGCAGTTCTACCCAGCCTACTGGGGGTGGACCCAGTGAGGCACACGTGGATGGGCTGTTACAGGGGCCACCTGAAATCAGAGCTGGACAGAGGACAGCTGGATTACTTTTAATAAAATCAGGTCTAGGCAATTAAAACATTTTTAACATTTTTTAACTTTTTAAAATGTTTTATTATTCCTTTGTGTGTATTAAGTTTAAAGATTTGCATTACTGATGGCCGCACAGTGAGATGACAGCCATCCAAAACACTTCTCATTCTAGGCTCGCACAGTGAGATGACAGCCATCCAGAACACTTCTCATTCTAGGCTCGCACAGTGAGATGACAGCCATCCAGAACACTTCTCATTCTAGGCTCGCACAGTGAGGTGACAGCCATCCAGAACACTTCTCATTCTAGGCTCGCACAGTGAGATGACAGCCATCCAGAACACTTCTCATTCTAGGCTCGCACAGTGAGATGACAGCCATCCAGAACACTTCTCATTCTAGGCTCGCACAGTGAGATGACAGCCATCCAGAACATTTCTCATTCTAGGCTCAGCTTTTCTCAAAGGTTTCTGAATGGGTAAACTGTTATTAACTTGCAAATGTTTTAATTGTCTTTTATTTTCCCTGTCTATTTCCTCTGTCCATGCCTGTAACTGTGTGTAGGTACAAAGGTTCATAGTGTCTTACCATGTTCTGTTACTAACAGTCTTCAGGGGTGTCTTTTTATCCTAACTGTTCAAATTTCCTACTAAAAATCTAGCCAGTAGACAATTTATTTGGCACCTACTCTCTTTTTACTTGTGGAACTCTGTTCAGCGTTCTTTCCTTGGTGATCAGGGTCAGAATTTAACCAACTTCTTACTGAACTGCCAGGTTAACCACCTAACCCAGAGAAGTGTAAATTTTTAGGGACTGATTGTTAAGTTGGGCAAGAGGAAACTAACCAATAACCAGAATGCTGCTTAAATTATAATTTATCTGGCAGAGTCACTACTACCAATAGAGTAGAACTGTCCAGAAAGCTTGAAAACCTCTGTAGATTTTAAAGGTTGAACAGACTAGGACTGAGCATCCATCCTTGGTTATCCTGGAAGACAGTGGTGCTGACCCTGCGGCCCTCTGTTCAGGATTTGTCCAGAGGCCTCCCACACTGCAATGGTGCTCTTCTCTGGAACACACTTCAAGCTACTTGGAGGTGCTAATTACTTCATGCTCATCATGACACATCATAGTCCACAGCAAGCGTTTGATGAATGCCTGGTCAATTAATTTGGCTTCTGTCTTTAAAGTCTCAGATTTTGAGGATTTGTAACACTGATGCCACATATGGTAGCTATTTTCTCCATCGTGTGGACATGTGGAGTGTGACCCTAAGGAAGCTTCAGCAGCTCTTTTAGTCTGGCCTAGTGGGACTAATTTGCTCTGTGAGGTTGCTCCACGCTCAAGTGATGGCTCTTAAAGTTTTTCTCTACTTACCACATTTAACAGAGATTCAAAGTGCTTCTTGCTACAAGGCTCCCCCTGCAGAATTCTTCCCCAGAATATATCTGAAGGTTCAGCATTGTAAGAAATTGGATCAGGCAGTTGTGAAATAAGAGGACAAAGCTGGGGCAGGTAGAGAACATCCAGCTTTGGAGGTGTAGAACAGCTTGGAAAAGCAGCTTCTGTGGAGGACAGTGCCGCCTTCAGGAACTGTTTCTGCCACCTGTCCTGTTTCTCTGCCTTTGGATTACCAACACCTTGTTAAAAGCCTCACTTACCATTGGATTACTCAGCTTTCATTCTGGTCTGGCTTCTGTCCATGTCACACCATCCAAAGGCCTAGTGAAAGGAAGCAGCCAGATCTTTTTAAAGTTTCCAGTGGTCTATCTACGTAGTGTTTTAAATTATATTGTTATTTTAAAGGCACACATGAATACTTTCTCAGGTAGCTTTCCTGAGATTACCGCGTAAAAAGCATCTTCCATGCTCTCCTATTATAAAGTCATAGCGGTAGCTAGCTCAAGTATTTTTGCCTTATTCTGTGTCTTCCTCTGTTGTTTAAGGAATACTCTTACAGATCACCATTTCTTGATTTTCCAATTTGTGATAATATGTGTTGATGAGTTCTTCCTATGGCATATGAGCATTTAGCCCTCAGCCTACCCACCCCATAGCTCTTCCCAGCTTTTGATGACATTCACGTTACTAGGTAAATGTTAGTCTGCATGAGCCATGGTGTTCATGGTTGTAGGTTCAAGTCTCCCCTTTGCTTCACATGTTTGCCTCATTTGGCCATTTTTCATTGATACGTCACAAATTCATCCTCTATATCCAGTGGCACTGTAAACAGTCTCTGTGAGTGATGCGCTCTTTGACTCTTTTCCTGAAACTTCTTAAAATGTTCAGGTTAGGTGCCAAGTTTGGTTGGTAGGGCTGCCGTCATGGAGTATCAGATGGGCGATGCAGTGCGCAGGAGTTCTATTTCTCATAGTCCGGATGCTGGGGAAAATGGAGGAGTCAGCAAGAATTGTTTCCATGTGGTCACTGGCTTACTACATCCCTCCCTCCCTCCATCCCTCCCTCCCCCCGCCCTCCCCCTCCCTCCCTCCAGCTCAGATGCTGTGAGGCTGAGATGGTCTGTAGTTCTCTCCTAAAGATGTCAGTCATTAGACCAGGGCTCACCTTAGAGACCTGATTTTAATGTTATTTGCCTCTTTAAAGTCTTGGTTTCCAAATGCAGTGGTATTTCAGATGCTGGAGCTTAGAGCTTTAACATAGGATCTGAGGAAACAACTGCGTCCAGAGGAAGCACACTGCCGATTCTTTACACATGGTACAGCTCCTGACCCGGGCTCTTTCCTCTTGTCTTGTCTTGGGACCCTCTTTAAGGCTCCTGGTTCCCAGGGTACGGCTTTCATGACTGTAATTTCCCCTTTGGTCAGTTATGTCTTCTCAGGGCTGGGTGGGATGTAAAGGGTTTGGGTAGCTGAGTCACAGAAATGCATCTGTTTGTCTCTGCTCCTGTACTGCAGTGTCAGGTGGGCACTCCCAGTCCTGCTGTTTGCGACCTCACTGCTGGTTGTTGAAATATTTTCTGATCTAGAATATTTTTCTGTGCCCTGTAAATGTTTCTCTTGAAGTCTTAGAGTCTTCTATGTCTCAGATGTCATCATTTCTATCCACAATGATACATACCAAGTGAATCCTTTCAATCTGGTAAATTGCAAGAAAATTTTTTTTGAATATTTATTTATGCTCATTGCTGTTCTGCCTGTGTGTATGTCTGTGTGAGGTTGTCGAATCCTCTGGAGCTGGAGTTACAGACAGTTGTGAGCTGCCGTGTGGATGCTGGCATTTGAACCCAGGTCCTGGAACAGCAGCCATTGCTCTTAGCCACTAAGCCATCTTATTTAATGCTATTTACTAGCATTAATCCCTAATTCTAAGGCAACTTCTAGTTGGATGTTAGATTTCTTTTCTGAGACCTCTGATTTAATTATGTTTTTATTTTTATTTAACCTTTTCATGTAATTTCTTTTTTTAGTATTTTTCTGAGACACTGGGCTAGGGGTGCTGCGATTGAACCTAGGACCTCGAGCATGCTAGACGTGTACTCTGTTGTTGAGTTATACCTCCAGTCCCCTTCTGATCTATATATGATTTATATAAATATAAAAGATTTTCTGATATATAAATATATTATCTATATGCTTAAAAAAAGCAGACACAGGATCTCAGCATGTTGCCCATGCTGGCCTTGAACTCCAAGACTCAAGCAATCCTCCTGCCCTAGTTCTCCTGAGTAGAGGGGACTCCAGGTACAGGCTCCTGTGCCAAGCTCTAAATTTTAATTTCTAAAAGTTAACGCCTTAAAAAAAAAAAAGAAAAAACAACCCTACATTTTAATCTTGACTGTTATGTCTTTAGTACACTCACATTAGGAGGGATCACATACGGGATCCTAATCAAACATCCTTTCTAGTACCACTAATAGTTGCCCAGAATTGTGTCCTGAAAACAAGTTCTTATGTGTTCCTTTCCTCTTGGAAGTGTCAAATGGCTTATGGCATTGGGGTTCCATGTTCCTCTCCCTGCCAAGGCTTTTTGTATCTGTCCGCAAGCTGACTTTTCAAGTCCTTCATTGTGTATTGTAGACCCCTTTATCTGAATGCTAGCCATTTTGTGGTTATACTAGGCCATATACTTTGTCTTGTCTTTAAAGTTGTTTGGGTGTGATCTGTCCTGTGGTCTCCGAGCCAGCCACATCAGCTGTGTGAACCACTCTCTAGTCTTTTCCCCCAACCCTGCCCCCAATGATCTCTTTCTACACACTGTACCTTGTGTCGTTATTTATGTGTCATGCTGCTCCAGATTCCGTGCCACCCTGTCAGAGTCCTTGAACCCATCCTGTGTGACAGTTCCGTTTCCAAGGGAGGGTATACCCTCTTTGGCCTTCCCTGTACTCTGGAGGCAGACGGGCAGATCTTTGAATTCAAGGGCAGCCTGCTCTACAGAGTGTGTTCCAGGACAGTCAGAGCTACACAGAAGAAACCCTGTCTTGAAAAACCAAAACCAAAGATTCCTAAGCCAAGTAAGACACTTGACTCTGGACCTACATGGTATATCTAGTTCCACACCAGGTCTTTTTTTATGACCCCACTTTCAAATAAGGGGGAATGGTACACAATAGGCCATGGGATCAGGCTTTCCGAGCCACTGGTAGAGAGGATGCAGTGATGATTCAGAAAGGTGGAAAATCCAATCCCCTTGGGGAGAATAGGAAGAGCCTAGCAAGCAAACGCTCTTCCTGTCCTCTTGTGGATTACTTGCATAGTGTCATTTAAAGAGCCTTCCAGAGAAAGTCCGGACTAGGAATACCATGCCAGGCTACCTGCTGTCTTCTTGGCTTCCTAAAGCTGCGCAACACATTATATCACACGGCTTTGTTCCCTGCTTTAGACCTTTTCCTCACCACTCGTATATGTACCCCAAAGAAAGTACCAGTGACCTAAATTCTTGCCTCGGGGTCTGCCTTCTAGAAGATCTCAGGTATTTATAGATCCTGCAGTAATGCACTCTTAAATTGTTTAACACATGATTGATACACCTAGTCTCTTCTACTGACGATTTACTACAACTACTTGAGTCCTTTGAGAACACCAATATCAGTTACATTGAAGGTAACAATTTAT